TGCCAGTGGTTGAGGCCGGAGAAACGCACCAAGGAGCAGATCCTGGAGCTGCTGATCCTGGAGCAGTTCCTGGCCAGCCTCCCGTCTGACCTCCAGAACTGGATCCGGGCAGGAGGGCCGGACACGTGTTCCCAGGCGGTGGCCCTGGTGGAGGACTTCCTGAGAAGCCAACAGGACCTCAAGCCAGGCAGGTGGCAGGTGATGTGTACCAGTTATTAATCTATATGAACATTTGTTCCTTTTGCCTGAAGATGAGATAGCCCTTAATTTTGCTAACTGCCCATAAATTACAGCTTAAAGCTGTTCCATTAAGGAAAATATTTGGGCGAACCAATTGGAAATGTAAGGCTTTCAGTGGGAAGGAAATTCACAAGTGTGGTGGAATACAGTGATAGCGAAAATATTACACCTTTTGAAGCAGCTACCCTTGGTTGAGGATGATTGTCATGACAGAGTCAGACTCTGAATCGTGGCTCATGACAGTCACGCCCCAACTGTGCTTTTTCTAGTTATGTAGCCTGATTTGTATTAGGACAACTTGTCATGGGGCTACTGAGATCTCTCATTCCATGGTGAAATCAGTTCATTGCAGAGAGCAGGTTGAAGAGATCCAGAAATGTCTCCTCCCGTAGGAACTACTGTCATGGTCACCTCCTTGTGTTCTGAACTGAATCATTCTTACTCTTTCAGAGGCCGTTAAAGGAGGAGCACGTGGATTTCTTGGAGCCAGATGAAGAGGCTACGGGAAGGAGCTTTAAAGACGGCCAACGAAAAGGTGGTGTCGAGTTCACAGTGGCTGGCTAAGAGGTCACTGAGGGTTGGATAAGTCTGTCGTTTGTGGCTGACCTCTTGAAAAGCAGTCAGACTTCCTAAACCTGCAGCTGTTTTCTCAGAAGTGGAAATTTTTATTGCTACACCAATTGCATTCCAACAGAACAGCACGTTTGGCTTCTCCGTGCGTGCTGACAGATGGAAACTGTTGTTTGCAAGGTCTAGCATTTGACATCTCACTTGGATCAGAATCTGATCAGGTTATCTGTTTTGATTTTTCCCTGACTTAATTCTCCTTGGATAAAGCTTGTGAGAGGTGAGCTGATAGACTTCCTCAAAATAACTCTGCTAATTATGTGTGTACAGAAGGCTGCCTTGCGTCCGTTGCAAGAAAGGATCAAATTAAATAGTAAGAGAGAATTGCTAGTTATGTTCGCTTATGGTGGGGAACAAGACGAGGCCACAGAGAATTTAAGTTATAAGGAACTGAATTTTCGGAAGAGGCATGTTTTTCCCATTAAATCACTGGTCTCCTTTGGAAAAATTCCCATTTTCCCCAGCTGTATATGAGAGGTCTTTGTCCTCTTTTGTGTCTGTTCACTCTGGACTGAAAGACAGGCCAGCTCTCCTTCTAAATTCTGTTTTCCATCATTTGCAGGCATTGAAATCCAGTCTCCAAATGAAGCTAATTTATCCCTTTCTTCAGAAGACCAAGGGATGCTGCTAAATGGTGAGAGACAGGTAATTAGCATCTGAATAAATCCATTTGTATTGTTCCAGTTTGGGAGTATAGGAAGCTGCTGTGAAATATCTACCTGTGGCTCATTAAAGCAGCTGCATCTTTCTGCTGTATCAGCCTGGGAAAGGATGCGACCGCTGTCATGAGTCGCAGACAAGTGCTGTGTTTGCCCTCCTTGGGCTTTCTATTCTCTGAACTATTTCCAAAGCTTTGCTCAGCTGACTCATGAATTCACTCATCCGTGAGGGCTTGGAGTCTTAGTTATTAGATTTCCAAGATTCTGCATCCTGACCCCCTATTTTTTCCCCTGGCATGAAGCCCAGTTAATGAAGCTCCATGTGAATCTTGCTTCCTTGGTTGTGCATGCCAGGTAAAGGATTATCTCTTTGTATTGCAGAGTTGCACAGAGCACCCTAAAACGGTTGCATCTTTGCAAATCGTCACACGGCACCTCACCCAGCCAAGCCGGGAGACCTTCGCCTGGCAAGTCCTCCAGGAGGACGGTGGGAATGCAGGTGGTCTGGGTAAGCATTTCCTTCTCAATGCCAGAAAATCTGCTAAGCTTCGACTGGTCCGATTAGCCGCCTGTAGAAAAGAAAAGAAATGTATTGCTACAGATTAGGACAGCGTTTCTCAACCTCAGCCACTTTAAGGTGGGTGGACTTCAACTCCCAGAGTTCCCCCAGCCAGCATGCTGGCTGGGGGAATTCTGGGAGTTGAAGTCCACCCACCTTAAAGTGGCTGAGGTTGAGAAATATTGGATTAGAACTTAGAGCCTGTTCAGAAGTGCTTCAGACCTGTCTGTTTCCCCAAGCATGGGAGTCGGGAGGTTCATCAATCCTGTGAGGTGTTACTGGTTGAGGGATTACGGATTTTTTTCCTCTCAGTTGCCATTCTTTTCTGCTTCCCTGTTTATATTTTTTGTGCTGACACTGATGTTTTCAAACGTGTTTGCCATCCAGCTTTGCCTTGGTGAGATATCTTGAATACAAGAATAAATAAGGCCCCTTTTCCAAAAGTTCGTTCTCCCAAGAAACGAGACCATCGTTTCACAGAAACGTTGAGGCAAAAAGGCAGTCGTGGGACGGTGAAAAAGAGAGGGGTTGGAGTCCCCAAAAGCAAATTTGGTCTTTCGAATCTTCAGATGCACCCCCTGAAGTTTCACTTTTTCTTTCTTGCACAATCTTAGCACCCAAATATTTTATTGGTTGATTGATCAGTTTTTGTAGACCACCTGACCCCCCTCGCGACTCTGGGTGCCTCGCAACAATTGAAACAGAGAGGTACAATTATGACAAATAAAATAAAAATAAGTACACCTGCAATTCCTCCTCTTGACTTCAGGATCTCCCTCCCAGCACGCCTTCAGGCACCCATGCGCCCATTCCTTCCCCTGGCTTCCTTCCCAACCTTTTCGAACCTGACCCGTTTTCCTCTGCAGTTCTTCCCTCCTTGGCCTTGCTTTGCCTCCTGGTCCATCTCTCCCCACAGCCTTCTCCAGCCCCTTCGTTTCCAAAACAGGGCTGGCACTGTCTCTTCGCTGTCTCTTTTCTTTCCTTGCAGGAGCAAATCCTTCAGAGAGAAGCAGTGACTCCTCTGCATCTTTGGGGTGTTTCTGGCTTCCCTTGAGACTCGGTGGGGGTTGGAGGAGGGAAGTGGTGAAAATAGCCCGGCGTGGTCACGCCCCAAGCCCCACCCCCTTTGCAGCGCACGTGCAAGCCCCTTTTGCTTAAAGCAGGAGCACACCACTGGCCCACACCCACTTTACACTTGTGTTTGAAAGAGGCAGGGCTGGCAGTATGGTCCTGCTGTCGTTTTGATGAATGCCTGGGATCCGGGAGGTACCTTCACTTTGAAGCACTCCTGGATGTCCCCTTTTTAAAAATTAAATAGAGAAATCAGAGGTATTGGGAAAGTGCTTTTGGGATGCAGAGGTAAATACGCATTTGAAAAGTACAAGTAGTCCTCACTTAATGACGGTTCGTTTAGCAAGTTACGATGGCACTACAAGCTACTTACGACCTGTCCTCACACATATGACCATCCAACACTCCCATGGTGTGAAGGAATGGTTGGATGAAGGCCACGTTCGAGGAGATAAGCATTCCCTTAGCCTTCAACAGGAGCGTGGGAAGTTTAAGAAGATGAGA